GCTGTAGTGCCTAATACTTTCATTCCAAGTTTTTCTGTCCTATTCCTTAATGATTCTGCTTTATCTTTAAGGAACTTAAAACATGTAAACAAATAGAGCAAAAATCATCAGACTTTCTGTAAAGGGCCAACTAGTAGATACTTCAGGGGTTTTCCTAAGTCAAGACTAACTCAACTCTACCTTAAAACCAAAAAAAAACCAAACCCACTGCTATCTAGTCAATTCTGACTCATGGCGACCCCTATAGGACAGAGTAGAATTGCTCCATAGGGTTTCCAAAGCATAAATCTTTTTCCCACAGAGTGGCTGGTGGGTTAAAACCATCGACCTTTTGGTTAGTAGCCAAATACTTTAACTACTGCACACCAGAGCTCCTCAGCTCTATCTCACTAGCTCTGAAAACAATATGTATGTACATGAATGGGTATTGCTGTGTTCAATAAACTTGATTTACAGAAACAGGCAGCTGGTCCAGGGCCTATAGTTTACCAACCTCTGCTTCACATCATTAGGATAACTTACTATTTGAAGAAATCCTTTTCAAAAGTAATTCTTTTGAAAATGAATAGTTACCACTTTACTTTTTAGTGTTTTACTTTACAGTTTTTAAGTAAAGGTTTTAATTTTTTATTTTGAAATAATTTCAGACTTGCAGATAAGTTGCAGAAATGGTACCAACTATCTTGTACTTTACCCACATTTCCCAAATGATAACATTTTACCACATTTGCTGTATCATCCTATCTGATGCTACATGTATTTGAGTCTGGTTATTATTACATATTTATGGTATTTTACATTTTATGTATTTCTGGTTAATATAGTTTCAAAACATTGAATTTTCTTAAAGCACTGTTTAATTTGTAAGAGCAGTGACCGTCAGACTTTTAAAAGAATACCTCTGTTAATAAGTTTTGTGCAGTCCTCCTATGTGTATATGTATGAGTATTATATACATTATGATTATGCATTAGAAGACAAAAGTCCTAATATTTTCTTCTTGCTCTCCACTGGATGAAAATAGCACAACCCTTGGTGCATCTCGTTTGGCCACTATAGGTATAGAGAATGAACTAGGCAGTCTGTAGAGAAAAGAAAGGTTTTTGTTTTGTTTTCTGTAAGAACTTCAGTGATCCTTTAAAACATTTCTGAATTGTGATCTTAGGTCAGAGTGAAATGTAGCTTCAAGCTTGAATAAGGTTGTCTGAGCCCTCCCTAAACTCTCCCTGATTTTGCCTTATTGAATTGCATGATAGATAATTGAACCAAGTAAAATTTATGGTGGCCAGAGCAGGTTTACAGTTGTCACCCACTACCATTTTCTTGTGCCATTTCCCCATTGATGGCTCACTGTGAGTCTTTGCAAGAAGCTAACTGGGGGAGAAGAGTCATTCTTTGAGGCCCCTAGGAATGGTAGTGATGTTTACTTATCCAGTAACTCCAGTTCGTTCTTTATTCAGCAACAATTGGAAAACTTTTTTTATTGCTTCAGATATTACTTATGTTGTAACTATATAGAATTTGTTTCATCAGTAATCCACGGGGGGCAGTATTCATAGTGATTGGCTTTTTGAATTTTGTGTATTGGCAGTTAAAATGTCAAATACACCCAGTTATTTGCCTGGGAAGCAAATGGTGCCAACAGATTCTATAGTAAATAGGCATAAGGGATACATGTTCCAAAAGGCCTTTGTTGGGGAGTCTCTGGAGACAAAGCTTAACATTTTAGTTCTACTCTGATTTAAGGACGTCTTCCTTATTAAGATAGGAAGTGAGGGTGGAAGTTGGCTGTGCAGAGATATAAAATGGAATCATTAAAATAGAGTTATCGAATTCAAACTCAGGAATCTCCTCAGCAGCATCAGTAAGTCTTTTTGAATACTGTCACTGCCTTGGTGCAGTGGGGACAAATATTTTCCTCCTAACTTACCAGGATTGTTGTCCAGGCAATAGTACTTAAACAAACAAACAAAAAAAAAATCCAGACTCACTGCCATTTAGTTGATTCTAACTCATAGTGACCCTATAGAACAGAGTAGAACTGTCCCATAGGGTTTCCAAGGTTGTAAATCTTTGTGGAAGCAGACTGTAACATCTTTCTCCCACAGAGCAGCTGGTGGGTTTGAACTTCTGACTTTTGGGTTAGCAGCTGAGCGTTTTAACCACAGCACCACCAGGGCTCCAAGAAGTACTTAAACCAAAACAAAACCACACTCACTGCCATCAAGTGATTCTGACTCATAGCTACCCTCTTTGGATTTCTGAGGCAGTAAATCTTTGCAGAAGTAAATTGCCCAGTCTTCCTTCCACAGAGCGGCTGGTGGGTTTGAACCGCCAGCCTTCTGATTACCAGTCAGATGCCTTCGGTACTACGCCACCAGAGCTCCTAAGAATTAATTTAAAAGGATATATTTTGGTCACTCTGAGTATGCTACTTGCCAGAGGACCTCTGCTTACTAAGCAGCCATTGGGCGGATAACATGACAGGCTCAGAGGTATTAAGGACTGCCTCCAGAGAGAGCACTTTGGAATGGAACTAACTTGGGTGTTCCAAGACAGTCAGCTGCTTCCAGATCTTGCTTCCATTCTTCAACTCCCACCCAATTCCGGTGCAACTTATTTATTAGTGATGTGTGAAGTACCATCTATCTAGGATGGCATAAATGTCCCGAATATAGTTACTCTTCTAAAAATTTTGCTTTTCTTTTTTCTCCAATCCATGTCCCTCTCACTGTCTTTACCTCTCACAAACACTTTATATTTCAAAGACTCAAACACATGCCATTATTTTGTGTGTCCCTAGGAAGGGGGGGGGGGATTCTGCCAGTTAAACTGTCACAGGATTGTAAGATACATTCCAATTTCAGACACATTAAAATGGTGTGTTTTTTTTTAAAAAAAAAAACAAAAAACCTGTGTCTTAGAATTGAAGAAATACCGTGTTGCTGCTGCTGTAAACATAGTTATCATCAAAGATTCATGCTTTCAAACAGGGAGCAGATGTATGTTATTACTTTCTTTCCTTCTTCATTGGTTACAATGATTACCTCCCTTCAGTGGTAGGACTGTTTAAAGTGTCTTAAGTGTGGGGGGTTTAGGCCTTGTCTAAATAAAAAGCATTGTTTAACGGTTGTCCTGGGCAGGAGGATCGCAGGCCCCATTGATAGAGCCTCTGCTGTATCTCTTCTCCAAGCTGTGGGGGAAAATGCCAGTTGCTGGGGTAAAGTGACTGCACATGACTATACCTAAAGCCAGCTGGTTTTAATAATAGTGAATTGAATTAACTCAATTGGGAAAGATTGGTAGCGCTGTCCTTATCCTGCATCTCTGCTTTAAACAAGAGTCTGGCAAGGAACCGGAGACCTGTTCCTGGGAGAACTAGGCAAGATGTCCCTGGAGAGAAATGCCATGCTTTTCTTTCTCAGACCATTCCCTTTGAAACATGTTCTTTGGCAGGAGTTTGGTTGGCTACCAACACATATTTGAGTTGGGAAACAATGTGGCCAGCATGGCAAACTTAGGGCCCCTGGGCAACATTTATTACATGCATTTTAACTGGCCCTTGTTGTACAAAAAGAAAAAAAAAAAAACCTTTTAGCTAAAATTTAACAATTAGATTTAGTGCAAAAATTCAACTTTCTGGCTTTGCTTAATGCCTAGGAAGAGCCAGCAATATTGAGCCCACATTCGTACTTAGTAACGGGTTGCCTGGAGCTGAGTGATGGGACATGGGCTTTCCTGTTTGCTAGTCTCCATCACTCTCTGTAGTGTGTACACACTTGTTACCTGCTGGCCCTGAAGAGTGCTGCAGTATAGCATAGTGGTTTGGAGCATTTTGGAGTTAAGATAGACTTCCACTGGGGTACAGGTGTTATCACAACTGTGTATTCTCTGCATCATACTTTGCTTCTCCTAGGCCCAGTGTTCTCATATATGTAGGTATTACCTACCTTTCCAGGTTATTTAAAAAAAAAAACAAAAAAAACTCATTGCCCTTGAGTCGGATCCGACTCATAGTGACCCCTTCTTGGGTTTCCGAGGTGGTGTCTCTACAGAAATAGATTGCCCAATCTTCCAAGGAGTGGCTCGTGGGTTTGAACTTTCTGGTTAGGAATCAAATGCCTTAGGCACTACACCACCAGGTTATGTTGTTGTTGTTGTTATGTGCCCTCGAGTCAGACCCTGCTCATAGCGACCCCTCCTTGGGTTTCTGAGGCAGTATCACTATAGGAGTAGATTGCCCAGCCTTCCGTCCGAGGAGTGGCTGTTGGGTTTGAACCACCAGCCTTCTGGTTAGCAGTCAAGTGCCTTAGGCACTGCCCTACCAGAGCTCCTTCCACCAGGTTATCGTGAGGTTTAAATAAGGAAATCCATGTGAAGTGCTTAATATATTGTCTGATATATATATACATATATACGTACATATATATATATACATACATACATACATACACACACACATACACAGTGCTCAATAAAGTGTATATATCACATTTGATGAGTTGATTATATAATGGAAGTTTTTGTCTGTTAAGAGTACTTTTTCCTCACAAAAAGGGTATGGACATGAGTGGATGAGTAGAAGATAAGGGACATGTGAATTATGAAGACATGGAGAAACTGAGCACCAAGAAAAATGTTGGCACTCTGTAATAATCTCTGTGTATGCCCCATCTCCCCCTTCCTGTGTGGAGCCTCCTGTTTGTCTGCTGGTGGTACTGTAAATAGAAGTAAGATCATGTGTGAAGCACTTATTCATTTCTCACTGAAGAGTACTAGTAAACATGACACAGTGGCCGTATCCAGTGTGGGAGCTCTGTAGCTCTTCATTCATTTATGACTCTCAATACTTAGCCTGTAGGAAGGGTGTGATCCCAAATAACAGCTGTTAGCTGGCTACAAAGGGGGAAGTTATTTATCTTTCCCCCTGTTTTTCCTTATGAATGACCTCTGAGTTGGTAATTGACAGGGATTATTGCCATTTTTTTAATCTCTGCTAGGAGGCTGCTGGAGTCTTCCCTCATTTCATTATCCCGTTATGATGGAGCAGGATCCAGAGAGCACCCAATTTACCCAGACCCAGCGAGGTAAGGCCAAAGTGAGAAGTGGCACTAGGTGGGGGGGGAGGGGCGGCCCTTGGGGTTGCCAACCTGTTGGAAGCCCCCTTCTGTGCCTCTCTGGTCCTGGTGCTCTTTTACTCTCGAGTTACAGTTTTGAGACAGGTGGTTCAGGTGATTGGGAATTGTTTCAGGTAAGTGAAGAACCTCTGGTGACAGACAGTTATGACTGAGCTCTCTTGTCTTTTGTAGATACTTTTCTGCAGGTGGGGCACTAGAGGAAGGACCTGAGGAAGAAACAAAGGTTTTTATTTATAGAGAAATTACTTAAAAATAAAACAAAACAGAACCATGTGCTGTCATTTGAGAGGGAATTTAGAAAATCAAAAGGCAGAAGTCAAGCTCATCCAGATGTTGACTTTTTAGAGACTACTTGAAGAAAGAGATAAATGAATAAAATAGGATGGCATTTTATTAAAGTGCTTCCTTTACACTGGTTTGAAGACATTTGAGAAGTTTTTTTTTTTTTAATTTATTGTGGTGACTTGAGTAAAAGTTTATAGTGCAAATTGGTTTTCCATTCAACGATTCATGCACATTTTGTTTTCGTGACTTTGATTGCAACGAACATTTCCTGAAGGGAGAAATTCAGATGAGTTCAAGGCCCATACTACCCTGATACTGGTAATTGAGGACCAAGAATAAGGTGTCAAGTAGGTTTATAACGTTTACCTGTAGAGAGCAACCCTTTGGGATTGCCAGAACTGGTTTACTGATTCCTTTGGTATCTAGAAAGGGAGTAACCTGCATTTCATTTAGTACTAGAGCACATTGTGAGGCTTTGTTAAAGAAAAGGGGAATTTACAGTGGTGGGGTTGGCAGGTTAGCAGTGTAGGTCAGATAAAACTTAATGAGCTTAGCTTAAAAATTTCAGGTCTACCAGGAATATGAAATGATCTTGTTGTTGGCTGCATTTATGTCATGATCCTGAACATTCTTCCTGTGACACTAGTGAAAAGTGTCTACATTGTGCTCTTACCTCCTTTTGCATACCCCAGAAATGGCAAATCCAGTGATCAGGGAACAAAGGGATTGATGACTTCCAAACAGGTAGACAATTTAGATGATGGCTGAAGCAAGGAGTTATGTTCGATTCTAATTTGGTCTGAATATAACCCCTAAATAAAGGAAGGAAAATTTTTTTGCATGAGTGAAATACTTTGAAACACTGAGCTAGATACAGAGAACTCCTTCCTATAGAATAGTTTATTTTAGGGCCACAGTAGAATTTTTGACCTGGCAAAATTAAACAGTGATTTTTAAAGACTAAGATCCTTATTTTGGATCCTTATTTGGTCTTTCTTCATGTAGTAAGTTTGTATTGATTTCTACTTTGATCTTTTTATCACAGAAAGTGTCATACTTAGTCGTGTTGGTATTTTTACATTTTCCTTTTGAATAGTGCATTTGAAAATACATTTTTTGAAGGGGAAAGTGTTCTTTCTTGAAGAAAACGTGAGGATTTATTTGCACATTTAAGATTTTCACCCAGGACACTCGAGGGTTGCCTGATTTTCTAAGCTCTTCAGTAGAATGAGTGTTACCTCATTACTGGTTGTTTCCTTTCTTTTTTCTCTTAGATATTACCATACACCATATGGAAAGGTCAAATCTTTGTGAGATTTCTCTCAGCATTCAGATCCTTAGTTCCCCTCTGGATATGGGAAAGGATGAGGCTAGGATATAATGGTATTTAATACAATTGTATTTCATCAGGAAGGTTTTTTTTTTTTTTTTTTTTTTAAACCATTTATGTATAGTTTTGTAGCCTAGGGAATCCCTGTCCAATAGTGAAATTAAACTGTTGGGGTTACCTAGGACTGCAATTGTGTCCCTGCATTAAAAAAGCAATCTTTATTTATTATTGTCATCGGTAGCATTGTTATTATTAACTCTATTACCAATTTTTTCCTCCATTAATTAGGGTAGGCTGTCAACTAAGGAATGAGTATATTTATGATCATTTTTCAAGAACAGTTCCCCAAAAATTATCTTCATTTTCCTCTTGAAATTTTTCTCATATTATTCTTTTCCAGTCCAATTGACTTGAGAATTTAACCAACAATTAGTTGATTTTCTGTGACAAGATTTCTTGATAGATAAAAACTCAGGAGTATTGTTTTTGTTTGTTGAAAATTTAGGATTCTGTGATTCATCCTTGTAAAATACATAGGAACAGATTCGCAAAAGGATGAAGGAAGTTCCACCAGTTGAGCCTTTAAAGGAGTAATTCTGATACCTTGATTATCTTGACCAAGTCATCCATATAACCCTTGCCCACCTGCTACACTAAGAGAATTTGGATTCAGCAGTGCCAAATGGAGCATATTGTTCGTAACACAGACATCTGAGTTCCAAAGATTGTCAGCCAATATGCTTGGGAATTCCGTTTGATGGTTGGTCAGGTGGACGGTACCTCTCATGACAGGCATTTCAGATGTACTTCACTTTCTGTCGAAGCTGACTGCAGAATCTTCTTTGGCCTTGAGCAGTAGACTTACTGAGGATTTGTCCAAGGATATGAAAAAGTCAAGCTGCAAGATGTTTGTAAATACTTTTCATACCATTTGAATAGGAATGTTTCAATCTCAGTCAGATTACCATTTCTTTAAAAAAAAAAAAAAAAGTGCTTTTTTTCCCTTTTCTACTCAAATGTTATAGAAGTGCATAAAGTATAAAGATCCCCAAAATCCTCTTGATGATTACTGTGTATCCCCTTTTAGCACTACCTCTAATTACAGAAATACATATTTCTATATACATCTTAGTATAAACATACCATTCTTCAGATTCCCCCCACACACACACCAAAAAAAAAAAAAAAAAAAAAACTCACTGCGGTTGAGTCTGATGCGACTCATAGTGAACCCTCCTTGAGGCGGTATTTCTACAAAAGTAGATTGCCCAACTTTCCTTCTGAGGAATGGTTGGTCGGTTTGAACTCCCAGGCTTCCGGTTAGCAGTCAGATGCTTTAGGCACTACGCCACACACACACTTAAAATTTTATTTTGTGGAGCTTTTCTTTTGAGTATATAGAGATACTTTATTCTTTTTAATAGCTACATAGTGTTTCTTTGTGTGGATGTAATTTATTTAATCTGTTGATGAGCATTTGGGTGGTTTCCCAGTTTTCCTCTGTTGCTAACAATGTTGCAAATGAACTCCTTCTACATCTATCTTTGTTTCCTTGTGTGTTTCTGTAGGATAATATTCCTAGTGGAATTGCTGAGTCAAAATGTGTGCCTCAGGCAGGTTTTAAGTCTTGAAATTTCTTAGTACTCCATGTAATATTGTCACATAAGACATTTTTCTATTATTGTTTCTCTCTCTTACCTTCTTAATTTACCACCTCAAATCATTCTAGCAGTGTTGTGAGAGATGGGGGACAGACTTGAGAAAGAAAGGACTGTGGGGAATCATATAGGACACTAGAAGATGTCATGGAGTATCGAATTACTAAAGTTATAGCTTGAAGATACAGGTCCAGACTGACTATTTACCGAAAAGAGCCACAGAAAGGGAGTAGAAAAATGAATGACTCTTATCTTTGATATTGCTCGGTATCCATGGAGCCTCTGATACGCTGATTGTAAGACAAGAGAAATCTCTCTCTCTGTTAGAACTTCTGTTCTCCGAAGTATATATTTACTGTCAATCTCCACCTGTATATTTTCTCCACGTTTCAAATATTGCTGAATAACCAGTAAGGAGAGGTAAGAAGTTCAAAGAAATCATTTTAAGGAGGTAGGATGAATCTGGAGATGTTGGAGGTGAAAGAAGTCCTGATGGAGATGATGCCTGGAGATGTCTTCCTTAATCATCTAAGGTTTACCGCCTCTGGCCTGTCTTCTCATCTACACAGTGAAAGAATAGATCTCTGTGGGTGATTACTGAGGTCCCTTTCATTTCTTATATTTTGAGGATGGATGGTGAGGAACAGCTGTGAATCTGTATAAAGGGCATCCTGAGAAGCAGAAAGGCCTTAAGCTAAACAGAAAGGTCCAGTGTTATCTTCTTGGAAGGGGGCAGCTGTTGAGTAGATGATGACTGGTTGAACAGCCTATTTGCCTTATCTCAGAACAGAAACACTGCTGATAGTGTGATAAGCATGTTCTGCAGTACAAACCTCCTGGTGAGTTAAATGCCCTTTATTTTTCATATGTTGGGAGTTTGCCTCAGCAGGGAGATGTCATGGGAGAACTGAGTATATTGTCATTCACAGTATCCCCCGCTTAGTGCTAGTTTGTGTTTGTCCATCTCTGTCTCTCTCAGATTATCTCCTGCTGCGTACTACGCCCAGAGGATGATCCAGTATCTCTCGCGGAGAGACAGTATTCGCCAGCGCTCCATGCGCTACCAACAGAACCGTCTCCGTTCTTCCACCTCCTCCGCTTCCTCAGACAACCAGGGTCCGTCAGTAGAGGGGACTGACTTGGAGTTTGAGGACTTTGAGTAAGTACATACCCAGCTTGCATTCTTTCCTCTCTCCCCAAGCTATGAGTGCCTCCAAGTTGCCTACTGTCTGAGCCAGGCTGACTGGCACACTTGCTTCAAAGTCCTAAGTTGTTATTTATGAGTAACAGGATGGGTGAGGGACAGAGGGTGAAAATGCCTGGGACACTCCCACCTCTGGCAGTCGCATTGCTGATTCACTGGAGCCTGTGGGCACAGACAGCCCATTGGGCCCCAGGCCACAGTGGGAAAAGGTGGCTGCTACTCTTTAGGCAATGTTTTTTTTTTCCCTTTTGCATGTACGTTAACTGTGGAAATGCTTCCTATGGGCTGTATTCACAGCATCAGGTGGCCAGCAGGGTTGGTGTTCTCTTAAGTAGATTAGGTTTGGAGATTAAAAATATAGAAAATACTTGGATTGTCCTCGAGGGAGGATTCTCTGTCTTGGTTCCCTTGTTCAGACTGGGTTTTTGGTTTTGCCTGAAGGAGCCCTAATGGTACAATGGTTACGTGCTAG